AAATTGAAAAACCGCGCTATTCGGCCTGTGTGCTTGCCTCGGCAGATAGTTGAATCTTTCAACTTAATATTCAGAAGTTTGCTGAAATATCAGCGGTATCTTAGAACGCGGTAAGGTTAGTTACGTTTAGAGAGCCTCGTAGGTAGTAACTTGTTATTATTCATTTTTAGTTTCTTAGTTTTATTTTACCGCCGGGTCGGCGTAGTTTGTGAGCGTCAAGTGCACGCATCTGTAACTTCTAAAGTAGAATAAAAAGGGAGTTAAACCCTTCTTAGAGTTTTATGTACTTTCCAGTTCATAGCAGTCACTATTATTGTTGCGTGTAGATTGGGGCCGCGCAACACCACAAACTATACCACTGGTGGTACGCAGGAGAAAAATAGGTGGTACGTGAAGAAATAAAATATTTTTAACTATTAAATTCAAAAATTAAATACCCGAACATCCTGTTCAAGTTTGTTCAAGGTCAATAGCAGCTCAGCCGCTCATACACTTTAGTAAAATAATCCGTTTTTATTTTCAAAATTATTCTTTTAGCCGTAGACCTAACAAAATTTGTTATAAATAATGTTTTTGAAAGGAGTAATAGAAATGTATGTTGTACTTAATAGGAAATAAAGGTAAGTTCCTATAAGAAAGATAATAGAATCTCATTAATTATTTTAGAGATTTATTAGCATGTCTGTACTTTATGTCATAACCACTTGCAGGCTCAAATTGCTCTATTTTCAATTACAATCATTCTTTTACGTCGATTTGCTGTCTCTGTTGAAAAATTATAACTAAATTTTTCATTTCAAAAAGTTCGAAATGTTTAAAGTTTAAAATTCAAAGTTTCAAAAGTTCTAAAATTCAAAATTTAGAAAAATTGTTTCTCTTACCCTTTTTCCTTCAGAAGGATCGAAGATCCAGGAGGAACTTAATAGGTAGAAAATCATCAAATGGTACTTGAAAATGGTACTAATTTTTGTAGAATTCGTACGACGAACAAGTGCAGCTACAAAAACACAATATATCTAGTCTAAATCACAGACGATACTAAAAGAATTACAGCCGAAGTCAAATGTTTTCTTTTTTTTTTTTTTTTTTTTTTTTTTCTTTTTTTTTTTTAAATTGTGCTACTGTTGCCAGTGTTAGAAACAAAAAATTGATGTGTGCACGACATGACTTCCTTCTAGGGAATATTACCGTATTATACGCATTTTTTTCTTGCATTTCATTTAAACTTATTGGATTGGATTAAATCTACTCACAATAGAATAAATGCACTCTTTAAAATTCATTATATTTGTTTACCATAGCGCCACTCAGGCGCTAGGTTCACTAAACAGCGTTATACTTTTTTCATATTATAACTCGGAATCCACAAAATCTATATCATTTGAAGAGTTATCTCATCGTTGCCACATGTTCTTTTCAAATACTATAATAAATCTAGAATGTTGTATAAAAGAAATAAGCAAACAAAACAAAAATGAAACAGTTTTTCACAGACGATTTAATATTTCTCACTCAATTAATTCAGTTCTCACATCGCGAGTAGGCAAAAATACATAAAAACTCAAAATATCTATATTAAAATTACGAAGTAAATCTTAAACACTTACTTCCTCGAAAACATTACAGAAAGGACTAAATTCGCAATAAAATAAATGAAGGCGTTATCTTTGTTGTTGCAAAGCTTAGTCTCCCTAGATTGGCAACAAATCTACTATTTTGCTGTTTTGAATGTAAACAACATGTCCGCCATATTATTTAAAAATTAGGCTTAACTGCAATTAAATAGCTTTCAAATTGTTGATAATTGTACAAATATTGCTTTCAGATTTGCTAAAGGCATAAAAACATTAACCGGAAAGTAAGAACAATATAATTCAATCATTTTTAAAGCAAAAAATGCACAATTTACAAACATATAAGAGTAAGGAAACTGAGATCACTGAGCCGGGTAACAGAGTGGATATATATATAAATATATTTATATACGTTTGGTGCGGCCGATTGCAACCAAAATACGAGGTGCACATCTACATGTTATAGCAGTCCTATATACAAAATTTCAACGTTCTGAGGTATACTCGTTTTTGAGTTGTGCGAGATACGTGTACGTACGAACAGACGCCACGAAAAAAATATCTTTCGAGAATTCATTTTAAATTCAGTTTTCAATAATTTGTTTGGGGGAAAAAAGAGTCCTTTTTCTGTCCTTACGTACAGATGTCACGCAAAAACATCGTTAAATTGCATTCGATAGCGATGAAAATGGATATTTGCGTTGAAATATGATGCTTGAAACTTTTCGCGATTACAATACTTCTTTTTTGCTTCGTACAAGGAAATAAAAATTGTAAGTTTTATTAAAATCCGAGCTTTAAATTCTGGATTATTTACTATTTTATGCCAAAAGATGGGCAGTGAACATGAAATGGTTTTGTTACATTTCGGAGTAATGTGGCTATCTGCAGATAAATTTAAATCGTCGTTTCGAACTTCAATCAGAAACTCAAATTTTCCTCCGTGATTCAAAATTTGAATTGCTAAATTGTCTACTTAGTGAATTTTTGTTGGCGCGTTTACCATATTTAGCTGATATTTGTAGAAAGTTAAATGAATTAAATTTAAGATTATGAGGACAAAGTGTTAAAATTTGTTTATCGCTAGAGGTAAAATCAATGCTACGATAAAAAAATTGGAGATAATAATCAAAGAATTGGATAATAATATTTTAAGCTTTTTTAGCGATTTTAGAAACTTTTCTAACCGAAAATAATTTGAAAATAAAGAATAATTATCCGACATTAAAAATCATTGTTTCTCCTTGATAAATAATTTCAAACGTGTATTTTCCGAGGATTATGGAAAAGAAAATTGGTTTAGAAATCCATTTTGTTCGAATGAACCTGAAATTTTATCTCATGAAGAGAAAGAGCAGCCGTTAGAAATTTTCTGTGATCGAAATCTAGCTAAAGATTTCAAAAATAACACACTTGTTAATTTTGGCTGAACCGAAAAAAATAATTTAAAGACATTTCAAAAAAAGCTATTACATTTTTATTGCTTTTTTTGCGCAACCTATTTGTGCGAACAAGGATTTTTTTCCATGTTATATTTGAAAAATAAATACAGAACGAAATTAAAAGATGATCCTAATTTGCGACTAAAACTAAGTGAAATAAGACAAGACATAAAGAAATTAATCTCTCTTAAACAGGCCCAAATTTCACACTAAATTTTAGAATTAAAGCTTTATATCTTAAATTTTGCTAATTAAAATGGCAACCAGTATTTACTAATACTTTTTTATGTGTGCATATTTAATACAATAAGCCAATAGGCTATACAATTGGAAAAAAATAACTTTTTTAATATTTCTGTTGAGAAATTGAAATATAATCATTGTAAAATGTAGTGGTGGTACTAGAGTTATTCAGTTTTTGTTTAGATAGTAACGCATTAGTCAGAAGGTTGAGAACCTCTGCTTTATTGCCTTTATAAGATTATCTGAAATTTATTAATAATGAATTTAAATTTTTGGTGTTTGTGAAAAATTAGTTCTAAATTTCTTTATATATATGTATATTTCATTTTTACAACGTGGTTCTGGAAAAAAGATAGATTACCTTCAAGTATTTAACGGCTTTTAAATTCCTTAACCCCTTAATTATATATATATATATATATAAAATAAAAATATGTAAAGTAGCTTAATTTAATTAATTAATAGTTTCTTAAAATATAAACCGGCTTATAATTTAATTTAGTAATAATCCCTTAATTCCTCATTTAGCTTGCGTTACGCTAATGACGTAGCTAATTCGGAACCCAAATTAAAACTTCGGCGTAACTAAATCAGAACTTGAAATTTCGAGAACTGAAATCTTTCTCTTGGTGAACTTTCATGTTGGATAACTGCGTACTTTTGCTTCTACCTCTGTTGTCGCTAAGATGCTGCTTCATGCTATTCTTCCTAACACAACAGTATTTGAAATGTTACTGTACCGAAGCAGAAACTTATTAGTGCGCCAAGTGAATTGCGGCTGCAAAGTCAACTGAAATAAATGTTAGTATTCCATATATCTCGGTGGTTAAATTTGTTCTTCATTATGGATCTTCGTTCTACGCCGTCACTATTGCTACGTCTTTTTCATTACAATGACGAAATGCCATATTTCTTAATCTACGTTGTACTGTCATTGGGTTATTTTAGAAACAGGAGACATGAAAAATGAGCAATGCCCTCGCCGGGCATTGCCCGAACCTGCACCTCTCGAATGCGCGTCGAGTGTACTATCGTTACCCCCCGAAGACGTGCTGGATGAAGCGAGGTAATATCTTATAATGTCACCGACTGCCTTTACAGTTTTCATTACTTTTAATTTTACTTCATTACATCTAAGTCTATTGTTTAAATGTAGTTTGCTTCATTGTAAAATAAATAATAAGTTTGCTTATAAGGTATTTCTCCCACCTTCTTAATATGCCTTCGTGGTGTAGTGGTCGGCACACTCGGCGCGTATTCGAGAGGTCCGTGGTTCGAGTCTCGGCGAGGGCATTGCTCATTTGTATCTCTCCTGCTTCAAAGAAGTCCCAATGTCTGTATATGCTTTATTGTAGAATAAAACAAACTATATTTATTACCGCCTTTAATCGAGCTCACTGCACCTGTAATATTTAATGCGCTGTAATTGTAACTTATTTTATAATAAAGTAGCTTTTATTGTAAATTGTTCAATCATAGCTCACGTCTGTCATTCAAGCACTACTTTTATCAAAACAGTTTCAAACAAAATATAAATACTTCTATAACATTGGAAATTTGTGAAGAATTTCGTTAACGAATCATAATACTTTTCTGTGTAATGCATGCTTTGTTTCCACATTTTCATGAATTGCCAATCTTTGCTAAAAGATATAAATGTGTTATTCATTCAGATAAATACAAAAGACCAAAATATAGATTAATATACTTTATTTCCGTAATGCCCGTGACAGGAAATATATTTACAATTCAGTGAAGAAGTGGTTATGTTTATATACAAATAAGCTCGTTTGACCAGCATCGGTTATAATTAACCAATTATTTCCCAGGTTTTATTTTACAGGTAAAGCATCATTATCTGGAATTCCTGAAAGTAAAAAAAGTTTGGTATTAAACATAACCCAACATAAATTGTCATTATTTCGCTTATGAGATTTACATTGCAGTAAAACTGGAAAAGAATAACAGTTCTTTTGTTACTCTAAAACCTTTAGTACACTTTTCGTTTTAGTCCAAAGGGACAATTTGCCCTGAAAGAATTTCATTTTGGCATTTTGCGTTGAAAACTATAAACGGCGAATCTCTTTTCAAATTGTTGACATCCAATATTATCGCTCTGTATTATAGTTAAAGAAATTAAATAATGAAGAATCTGCATGAATGTATGTATGTTTTCTGCATTGTGATAAAACAACGATACCTAGAGCCATCCGAATTTGAGTAACGTAATCTTCCATAGAATATGGGCATGTGGAAGCCCTAATTTGAATTTGAAATTATTTTCATTAACGATTTCATATTTTGAAACACTTCAACGAATATTTGATTAAAAAAACTAAACGATTTCAAAGCGAGCAATGGCAACACTGTAAGAAAAAAAAAATATCTCCAGCGCGCGAGACTGTATCGGAAATTCTAAAGACAGTCTCATTTTAAAATTATTTTGCAATATTGTTGTTGAACTGAATTTTATGGTTTGAGTAGGCTGAACATGATATTTAATAAATAAAGGTAACACACAAAACGTTAAAAAAAAACGCCTTTTGGACATAATTTTAAATCTGAAACCTTTCAGTTTTTTTTCCAGTTAGATTTAGTGATTAGAAATTTAAAATTTTGCATGCATTGCATAACGTGAGAGTGCATAACGTGAGCCGAAATTCTAGAAATCACGAAAGTACAATATTTACATAAATAATGAATACTATTTTTCAGAAAGACCCAAATAACTGTATGCCTCTATTTATGAAACAATGATATTTCAAGATTGTTCTTAATGCTGTGTTATACATGATGATCTGTAAAGGAATTTACTTCTTTAAATATTGAGTATAGGAATGCACTTTTGCTTATAAAGTTTCTCAAAAGTAAGGAAAGCAGATGTTATAAAAATTATTTCGTACTGCGGATGAGAGGGTTCTGATAATTTTTCAGCACCGAAATAAATGTGAATTTTCTCAAAATATATTTCATATGGCTGGAAATAAGCAAGAAATATGGAAATTATGTACTATTTTCTAATATTTTACATTAAAAATCTGTTACCATTATGTTGTGCATTAAGAATTCTTTTTTAACGAGCAACAATGAGCCGCAAGTGTATAACGAGCCGCAAGTGAGTATGTTCACACATTAACGATACGTTAAAGGACGATTTGTTTTACTTTTCACTTAGGTGGGGCGCAAATGCAGAAAATACACAAGAAAGGACAATGAACAGAGATGCGGGCAAGAAAATATATTTCCTAATATTAAGTTGATACTGAAGAATCGTAATATTTAATCTGAATGGAAGTATGGAAGGTGTAGTGTTCGAATGTGAGTAAGCTCCTTTCGGTGAAAATAAGAAAGATTCCTTTGGTGAGAAAAGGGAGAAAACAAAGAGTCTTTGCCCACTGCAAGCATCATGAACCATCTGAAGAAGAGTTCAGGTCACAGTCCTATAGTGGCATCTCAACCAACCTGAGGTGAACATAATTGCAGATCTGTCCAAAGACGATGTCATATTCAGGATTATTCTAAAGAAATGGGAGCAGGAGCATGTGAAGTCCAGTGTTTAAATGTGAGTAAGCTCCTTGTCGTGTTGTGAATATCAGAAACTTACTCCTGGTGACGAAAAAGAGAATACAAAGAATCTAAAACTATTGCAGTCATCAAGAACCTTCTAGAAAAGTATCCAGGCCACAGTCAAAGAGTGACATCCCGATCAACTTGAAAACAACATTCCTATTTACTAGCAACGCCATCTAAAACTCCTAGATCATTCTGAAGAAAGGTAGAAGATAACTCTATCTAGAGTCTTGAAATGTGGGCCTACCAAAGAAACCAAAAAGTGCAAGATGGATGGTCTGCAAGGACAGCAGCAGCTGGTTTTCCCTCTCCAGTGGACAAATGGGAAAACTTTGACTAAATAGAATTGAAAATCCTAATATGTCTTACATAGGTAGAAAATTTAGAAAATTCCTTCTCCAACATGGTAATTTCCAAGTGGTAATGTTTTCAATATTTTATAGATTTTTTATTATTTTAATGTTCAGCGCTATTTGACGAAGTGTATTAAAAATATTTCCATATTAACCTATGAGAAGCAGTATCTTGAAATTCATCACAGTGCATACAACAAAGTTATTACGTTATACTTACTGCTCCTAGATGTCTTAGTATTTGCCATGACCTCCACCTTGTGCTTGGTTTCCTGATGAAAAACTGATATGTCCGTGACCACCATAGAGGATATTCGGTTGGCTCAAAACCAAAGGTGCTGAGTAAGCTGGTACTCCAACTAAGCCATGTCCGTAAGCGTGAAAAGGTGCTGCTTGGTGGTAGATGACGGTCTTCTCATGCAAACCTTTAGATAAAGGAATGGCTGATACCAAACCAGCGTGGGCCCCCAAATATCCGTGGCTGAGTCCAACATTAGCAAAATGCAGTTTCTCCAAATGATCTTGAGTGGTTGTGAGTTCTCTTGAGACTAAAACAGGTCTTCGGATTAGGATTGGCTGATCATGAACTACAGGTGCTTCTTTCACTACTGAAGCATGTCCTAACAATGGTGCATGTCCAATAACTCCTACGCTATGAGCATGTCCTAAAAAAAAAAGGAATTCAAATTTTTCATTCTGCCAGCTTACAAATTAAAAGTCAATATTTTGAAACCGTAAAATTTAGTAAATGGTGCGTATTTTACTATTTTTACCTTATTCGAAGTATTCTAAAGGAAACAAAATTGAAGTAGCTTTTCTTGCGCATGTTTATAATATTTTATTTATTATGTTTCCATGATTCATTTTAAGATCTCAGATCGTATAAAGATGAAAACTGCTCTGTTATTTCGGAAATTTCTAAGACCAGTTTCTGCTCTAAGAGGTGATTAAAATGTTTTTGAATAATACTCAGTGATATTGGATTCAGATTAAACTGTTGTAACTTTACATAATCAATAACAGGTCTCTAGAAAATAAAAGGTTCAGATGTCAGCATTTGAGAAATAAATCTGTGAATCATGATTAGGTTTAAAGTTTAGATTTAGAAAACTGGGTGAAGCATTGACCATCTATTTAAGTGCGGGTGCACAGTTTAATTTCACCAAACTGTTAAAAAGTTTACAAATTGTTTTAACGTTCTATTAAATAAATAAACAGACAAATTAGACTTGCCAATGATCGATTTTTTTTTAGAATTTTACTTCTTGCAGAGCGATAATTTCACAAATATGTTTATGAAATACGTACACTTTCTCATCCTGAAGCCCTTTTTTTCCAAGCTTTAGGATTCAGAAAATGCTATTAGCCTGATTGCTACGATTTGGAAATTTTATAATTACGTGCTCATGAAATTTTTCAAAAATATTTTCTCTGTTCTTCAAAAGATAAATTTTAAAAAGTTACAAAAATTCATAACTGATAAGTGATATTATAAAAAGGTTTTTAAAAAAGTCCATGGGTATAGTGTCTTGCGACAAGAGGGCGCTTAAAATACTGCAGGACCGAAAGTCCTCTCGAGAGATCGGTGGTAAGGGATCTGGGATAAACAGTCCTCAGATAGATCCGATCTCAAGGGGATTCTGATCTAACGAGATGCACAACTCTTGTTTTGGTAACGAAAAAATTTGTGGCTTGGATTTGATATTCATATCAGATAAACGAAATAAGTTAAAAATATACATTGCGACAAAAAATAGGTAAATAATTTTTATTTAGTTATGTATCAGTTATTTGTGTTATTGCTTATTTTGTAGCACACATCCTTTCGCCATTATTTTAATGTAAATTTCCGATCGCGAAATTGCTTATGCCACGGATTTTCTCAAGTCCCTCTGTCTGGCGAATTTTGCTTCCTCCCCCCATTCTGCGGTAAAACTGCTATCCTTTCAATAAAACAGCGATCATGAAAATTAGCAAGGTTTTTAAAACCACACGAAGGACATTTTCAAGCATTATATCATTCACCTATATGGAAAAAACTTTCGGACAGATAAGACTTAAGCTTTTCGAATACCGTGTGAAAATTTCAGCATTTCTTCCTTCTATACAACGATGAAATATTTCATTGTGGTTCAAAGAACAGTTTCACGGTCAAGGTTAACTCTGTTAGCCGAGGGGTAAAGGCCAAATAACAGGCTTTGCCCAACTAACCCAGAAACCTTTTGCCTTATTTATTTGTCTTATCGGAACACTCACTGCGAGGAAAAAATATCTATACGAAGAACTTTAATCTTTCTATATTAATCACTTGCAATAATGAAATGAGTTTTTAAACTTTCGAAGGAGATTTCTCTTTGAAGTAGCGTAGCATCATATTTTCAGTACAAGAAAAAATAATTCTTTAGATTGTGATACCTGCTAGTTAATATTAATGTTCATAAAGATATATATACTTTAAAGTTCATATTAATATTCTTGAAGTTACAATTAGTACGTTTTCTTGTCGTGTTCTAGTTCTGTTAAAATCAATACAGTTATTTATTACTACTGCTACTACTACTATTACTACTGGAATCATAATTAATTGCCCCATTTGGTAAACCAATACAGATGTGTTTACTTACAGCTATCAGATGTTTGTTATTTAAAGAGAATCGTTTGGATCATCAAAAGAGTTAAAATGACTTTAAAAGCAATGAGAAATTAATCCAAATAGAACACTTTCAAACAGCTTTGCTTTAACTAAACGAAAAGCGTTTCGTTGTTATTATATAAATAAAGTGAATTAATACAGAATTTAATACAAAATAAGATAAACTAAACGATTGACGTAATGAATTCTTACTAAAGCTTTAAGTTAACAACTTAGAACTTTCTAAACTTGACCTTTTAAAGTGAATTGTTTTTTAAAAAAAGGCTAACTTTTTTTAATGTCCTTCAAGTTTACAGTTGCCAACTTGTTCACTTTGAAGTCAAATGGTCTTAAAAATTAAAAGAATTCTGTACGAAGCTCAAATATCATTGTTCTGCACGAAGATCGGAAGATGCATAAAAGTTTTTGTGTATGCATATCGAAAAGTCTATTTCTGATTAAAAGCAGTGTCAAAAACTATTGGTGAAGAAAGAAAAGTTTTCTTTCATTTTCTTTCTTTCTTCCCATCTTTATCTTTTCTTTTCTTCTTTACGAAAACCAATAAATTGTTAATTCTACGTTTCTGATGATTCAAATGAAATGGAATAATATTCTTATTATCTTTCATATTAAATTAGTGTATTAGTTCATCATTTTAGAACTGTATAAGTACATTAGTACTGCATTAGTACAATTATTATTACTGTATTAGGACAATGTACTAGTTCTTATGAGAACAAATCGCAGTACATCATATTTTTTAAAAAGAGTTGCTATAATAAGTACACAGTTGAGTATAATATAATAAGTACATAGTTGCTATAATAAGTACACAGTTGCTATAATAAGTACACAGTAGAGTTGCTATAATAGTACACACATAAAGTCATGACAATTTATCTTCTGAATGTTTAATATATTAAAATAAGTTGGAATATTTTATTTTCATATTTAATAATTACAGTTTTTTTGTTTGTTTTTATGCTTACCGTCTCAGCATAGAATTATAAATCGTCCCTGAAACACAGAGATCTTCTTCCTTTATGAATTTATTCTGAAGTTTTTGAATTATTAGTCCAAAGGGATTTGAATCCCGAAGGACTATTAGTTTCGTTTTTGGCATTTTGCGTCGGACTCATAAATGTCGGTTCACTTTTCAAACTGTTGCCACAATGTTAGAGTCCTGCATTATATTTGAAGAAATTAAATAACGAAAAATCTGCATAAATGTATGTATATTTCTCGTATTGTGATAAAACAACGGTACATAGAGTCATCGAATTTTGAATAACGTAATCCTCCAACGAATATGAGCATGTGGAAGACCAAATTTGAAATTTGAAATTTGTTTTATGATCGATTTCCTATTTTTTAAAACTTTGACGAATTTTTGATTAACAAACTCAAGGATTTCAAAGCGAGCAATGGCAACGTTGTGCAGAAAAAACATTTTTATCTCCGGCGCGTGAGTTTTTGTATCGGAAATTCTAAAGATATGCTCATTTTAAAACTATTTTGCGATATTCCTGTTGAATTGAATTTTATGGTTTAAGTACGAAGAACATGATGTTTAACAAATAAAGATAACGCACAAAACGTTAAAAAAACGTAATTTAATTTGGACGTAATTTAAAATCTGAAACATTTCAGATTTTTTTTTTGTATTATTTAGTTGCATTATATGGCATCGGATATGTATTAAAGCTTTCTATATCTTAAGATGTCATAAGATATTTATTTATTTTAGCTAACCAATTATTTTGTGTTAAGTTTCATCTTTGCTATCATTCTCCCTTTACGTTTTTCTGCCCGAATGCAAATTTTAGTTCGTGCGTACTCAAATGAGGTAGAAAGAGAGTGCTTCTGAAGGACACGTTACTAGTTGTAATTCTCCAATAGCAGTCTGTCTTCGGCGTCGTTTAAAAAATTCTTGCCAAAAATGCTTGTGACGCCAGTATAGGTTTGAACTAACTTGCTGGTTAATATTATCTGCTAGCCTTTGGCTAACTTCTGACTTAGCTTAGGTTAATTTGAAATGCTATCTTTTGAGTTTAAGCTGACTGGTTTTGTAAGCACCAGGAGTGCCTTCGGTTAACTATTTGAGTTCTTATCAAAGGGTTTTTTTAACACCCTTCTTAGCTTCTCTGCTTTCTTACAAGACACAGCGATAACTCGCTTTAGTCTTACAGAGTCTCGGCCTAGTGTATGCTTCTCAACAAGGCGAGACTCTGTAATATTATCAACAATTGTTCTCGAAGCGAAACTAGAGTGCGTAAGTTCGCCACAAATATTTTGTTAGTTTTTATAATTTGTAAATAAGGTATGACACAAAGTGATCTCATATTTCTATGTTTTCAATCCATCCGTGAACGTTAGGACAAAACTTTAAAGATTTTCTTACCTCCAAGATCCAAGGCTTTTCCTCCGTATCCACCACCACCCAACAAAACTGGTCCAGCCGAGTGAATGCCATGAAGAGATTTTCTGATATATAGAGGCTTGTCGCTGTCCAGTATGATGGGTTCTTCGTCTAACAGTGAACCATGGACGTGACCACCATGGCCGCCATCAAGGATCTTAGGTCCATCCAACAGAAACTTTGCTGAGTTCAAGTGTATCTTCGGGTTATCCAAATGGATTCTGGGAGAATCTAGATGAACGTTTTGGGGTGGGCCGTTGTTATTTTTGAGGTGTGGTCCATATGTTGCCAAGCAAGTAGACAGGCAAAGAGTCAGAAGAACGAATACCTAATTAATGACAAAATTTTAATATGCATAAAATAAACTGTTATTTCTTGACGTAACTGCTTAATTTGAAAGTTCGTTAATCAGCAAAAAGAAGAGACATTTCAAGTGGAATTAGAGACTGATTGGAAATGAACTAAAGGCTAAAATTATATTCAAAAATTCAATTTAAAATGAGAAGTTGAAACATTATTTAAATTAATTCTTCTTTTTCAGTTTTAAATTACTAGCCATTTCTACATCCTTGTACGAAGTAAAGGAAGTATTGTAATCGCGAAAAATTTCGAGTATTATATTTTCAATGAAGATATTCATTTTGACCGATCTCAAATTTATTTAGACGATTTTTTTTTCGTGACGTCTCGGACAGAATAGACTTCCCCCCTCCCCGAAAACAAATTATAAAATGGATTTAAAATGGATTCAGAAAGGAACGTGACGTTTGCACGTACGTATGTTATGTATGTATCTCGCATAACTCAAAGTCGATTAGCCGTAGAACGTTGCAATTTTGTATATGGGACTGCTGTAACATCGAGTTGTGCACCTCCCTTTTTTGTGTCAACTTGCCGCACCAAACTTATATATACCCACCCTCTTAGTCGCCTCGGTGAGCTCTATTTTTTATTCTTATATTTTATAAAATTTTTTATTCTTATATGTCGATAAAATAGACATTTTTTGCTTTAAAAGTGATTTTTGTTTTTATGCTTCAGCAATATGCCTTTCGTTAATCTGCCTGTAGATTATCAACAATATAAAAGTTACGTCAGGCCTAACGAGAGCCATTTCTTTGTATTTGAATCTCTTAGTGGAATAGTGAATTAAGTCAGTGGGTGCACCAATTTTAATGTCTTCTTCCACGGTAGGACCAAAGACTAACTTTCCTTTATGTGCACCGGGAAATTTTGTATTCGTGCCCATAGGCCGAATTGCTTATTTTTGCGTTCAAACTCTAATTTTAACTGTCCAAATATTGTTTAACTGATTTCAACTGTATTTGGTATTTTAGTTTTTTTCTACGTTTTAGAATTTTTAACGAAGGTGTTTTGAGTGTTTAAGTATTTGTGCCTTGCCGCGAAGTTAGGCACAAATAAAATTGATTGAATGAAAAATATATTTGTAATGGAATTCGAGTTTAAATGAATTGCAGCAAAAAATGTGTGCAATTTAATAGAAAGTCACGGGGCGTACACATCAGACTTTTTACTACATGAGTGCATAAATCATGAGTACTACATGAGTACATACTACATAAATCCTCGATATGGAACTTCGTATTTTACGGAAATGGAACTTAAAAATAAAAATGCCATTCTAGCAAAAATGAAAAGTTTCCACTGCATAAATGATATATACACAAACTGAAACCTTTTTGAGATGACAACGCCCAGTACCAACTGCTTTGGCTTTCTGGCGAAATGTTCATATTCAAGAACGAGATATTCATTACCGTTAAATAATTATGGCTACTTTCATACGACGTTAGAAATTCTAGCCATTTACATAAATTCTGTTCTTAAGAAAGTGGTTGCTAGAACAGGTTTTTACGGTGGAAATGGTGAAAATAGATTTGTTGGGATTAAAAAATGAGCAACAAGTATATTTGCAACTAACAAAAAAGATTTCAGTCAAAAATAATTTCGTTCGTTACAATTAATTGTTCATAAACCTACTAGCGTTTTTATGTTTCGCTAATCTCAAAATGCTATCTCTCCTTCTTTTCCTATCATTTTAGACGTCCTACTTTCGATCGGGTAGTCAAAACGAATGTTCTTGATAACGATCAAGAGAGGGCGCAGCGTTCGCTGCTCCAAAGAGCATCAAACGCACGCAATCATCTCAAAATAAATCATGCAACAGGTTTTAAATAAAGTTCAGCTGCCTTTGAGTTTCGTGGTCAAGTTTAACTGCGGAGTTTCGTCACAAGGTAAAAAACTGCAAAGTGAAGATATGTTATTACATCTTTAATTTCAGCTGAAGCCCAGGAAATAGCATTTGCTTTCGTTTAAAAAAAATATGACGTGAAAGATTTTTGTCAAAGTTTGACATAAATTCTATACAGAGTTAAAATTTATATGAACTTTTAGATAATACAAATGAGTAATTAGTACTATAAACACTTTTACTGTTAAAACCTTTTCATAAGTACACTGGAAAAAAAAAAAAAAAAAAAAAAAAAAAAAAGTACAGTTCTATATCTCCCGTTCTATTGAGCCGATTCACGAAATTCAAAGTGCATTTTTCATGTCTCGAAAGCGCGACGTAGGATATATATTAGATTTATATATAGCCATTGTTCTAACATAGGGATTTTGGCACAAACTCCGACTCTTTTTGAAATGACATGCCAATATTTTTCCATATTTCGATTCTACGACTCAAATTATGCTTAGACATTAAATTTTGTATAACTTGGTGCGACATTTACGAAGAAATTCAAAAAATTATTTTGGCGTACTTGTTCCAGTTTGCGCCAAGTATAATTCACTCGGCGAACATCTTAATTTATAGCAACCCATTTTCCTTTCCTTTTTTTTATTGTAAACGAGCGGGGAAAAATAAGGTCATCGCTCATTATTTAAAATAATTTTAACAAAGTACGTAAAACACATTTGGCGTTATTATCGCTTATAACAAATATGCCAAATTTTAAAACAAATCAATATATAAATTCCCGTATATCCTAGAAAACTCTGAATACAAAACTCTAATTTTTTGCAGGTATGCTTAGAAATACATCTGCTTTAAGATGATGGTAAAAATTTTATAGGTAATAATTCATTTTTTTTCGAAAAATTAATAAAAATTATTTAAAAATAAATAATAAAAATGGGCTAATTTTATTTGGAATGAACCTAAATTTCGAATTTTGGAAGAAGGATTAGGATTATTCAATTATGGCAAAGCACACGTGGGCTATCTGCCTAAAGGGAGGGATGCCTTCGTAGAGGACTTTCTAAGGAAAACTGGCTCGTATACACGTTACACACGGGAAAAACCCCGAAAACGCCATACAGCCCGCCCGTTCGCGGGATTCGAACCTCGGACTCGAACTACCAGTGTTTAGCGTCTTTACCGCTCGGCCGCTGGTGGGCTTTGGAAGAAGGAATCACGTAAGTGTAATAAAAAAGAGTTATTAATAAATATATATCAAATTCAATTAACATTGAGGAGCTAAAATTTTGTGAGTTAATTTTTTAAAACTGCTCGCGCGATTTTTACAAAACATGGCAGTGTGGCATCATTTGAGCTGTAGAATCGAAATATGGAAAAATATTGGCATGTCATTTCAGAAAAATGTCCGATGTTGTGTCAAAATACTTATGTTACAACAATGCTATATATAAATGTAATACATTTTTTGGCACTAAGTCACGCTCTCGAGATATGAAAAAGGCAATTTAAATTTCATCAATCAGCCCATAGAACGGGAGATATAGAATAGCCCCATTTTTTTACTGCGCAATGCACATAACTGTAGAAATAAGTGCGTTTCTTTTATCTTTAATAGCTTTCTAATATGTGATCGCAGTTGAGAAGAATAATATCTAAATTACTCTAAAATGAAGTTAGGTTAGGGTAAAGTACTAAGGCAAAGCAATTTCGATGGTTATCTTCCTAAGCAACGGATGCTTTCGTGGAGGATTTTTTGAAGAAAACTAGCTCGTATTCACGTTAGACATGAGGAAAGCCTGCCACTGAGTTGTAATTTAAGTTGCTCACAACTCAACATCCTTAGTTAACAGTTAAACTGCCCGATAGTGAGCACAGAGAAAAATTTGTAAGAACGTAATTTTGATATCGTAAAAATGATACAGTAAATACTTAAAAATTTCAGAAATTCCAGCAAATCTGCACTGAAATTGGAAAATTTCCCAATATGTGTAACCTATTTTATTATTACTCAAATGGCTAGGCAAATATGCAATTCTCAGAGTGTTGCCATTTAAAATGTCATTAGATCTTTCATTTATCTTTCATATTACAAGTAAAGCTGTTTAATAAACTAAATGAATTGGGAACTGCAACCGTACTTCTTAATAATTTATATCTTTATTTCATTTTTAATTGTAGATCTAACTGATATAACTTATAATGCATTAAACCTACAAAATTTACAATAAATAAAACTGATGATCTTCATGATCATTTACAGTAATTAAAAAAAGATGTTTCTAACCCCACCTAACATTCGTTTTTCTTTATTCTAAAGCAGACTCGAATCGAGAGTCCAGCTAGTACTGGAATGAAGAATGTCAGAAAGCAAATATGGATTGATTTCGAGGAAGGTAACTGGATTATAAAACGTATAATTTTCATGAAATTTTTTTTCAAAACAGTGCTTAAAAATAAAAAAAAATGCATAATTGGTAATTTTTTAGCACTGTACTATGGTATGCAATTTTAGTTTCTTTCAAAAAGTTTATATAATTTTATTTATTCTTAAAAAAGAATGAGCTATAGGAAAAATAATGAAATTATTATTATGTAAAAAGGGAAGAAAAAAATTAATATTAAAATTCATATTTATGGCTATACCTAGGAAGGAACGATTTCTAACAGGGTAGTTTTAATTTTTTAATCTTTAATTACATTTAAGAATTATATAAAATGCTAATTTCGATAATAATTTCTGAACCATTAATTTCCGAAACAAGCAACTTTTTTTCAAAAGAGAAAAACCCAAAAATAAAATTACTAAAGCAACAACCTTGCGTTTGGTGTAGATTTAGTCAAGATCTCCAGTTTCGAGGGCACACAGGTACAGGTTCCTCTTCATCAGGAGCAAAAAATCCGAAGAATGGGTAATTTTAGTTTATTAATTAATTTAATTTTAAAATAGAGTTTATAAATTAATTTTAGTTTAATTTAAGTTTTTGAATCATGCGAATAGTACTCGAAACTTTTTTTCCAAGGATTAATTTTTTTTCTAATTCTTCAAAATGAATATTTACATTCAATTTTAATGCACATATTATTGGATATATCATTAGAATAACTCTTCCTTTTATAAGGCACAAATGCTATTAATTTTTTGAGAAAAGACCTAAATTAAGATGTAATATTAGAAAGTTGGCAGAACATTCTGTCTGCCGCAAAATTCATGATTTCCGTAGGATTGCAGCAAAAATTTCAAATTCGAATTTAGATTTGCTTAATTATTATTAAAAGAAAGAAACTATTTCTTCTCTAAGGTGATAATTATAAGGATACAAAATGAAATTATTGATAAAATTAACATATCCTTAGATGAGATCCTTTGATTAGTTGATAAAATTAACAAATCCTTAGACAGATAGACCTCCTAATGATAACACATAAAATAGAGAAAGTCAATGCTTATACTTACTTGTGATAATCCCATAATGAAGTTAAAAATCCTGAACTGCTGGAAGAATCTTAGAACTATTGCTGAGATTAGCTAAGTCGGTTCTGGTTGAATGAGCCATATCGTCGAGGCATTTATATACCATCCCGATCGCATATAGGTCAGTGATGAAATTTCAAGAGGAAGTTCTACAAGTTGAAGAGTAGGGGGGAAAGGAAAAGCAAGAGATTTCAGTCCCAAAAGGAGTAGTGGACGAAAAAAAAAAAAAAAAAAAGAAAGAAAAGACACTCTAGACCTACATTTCCTAGTAGTGATGAGATAGAAGATCTAGATCATTTGGGCAGCGCCCCTGCGGACAAAACCCCCTTCTGGTAGAAAGAGACAAGAGAGGAAGCTCATTCATCAACCAAACCAGGTGCGCGTCACAGAAAGGATTTTTTTGAAGTGCTCGCTTTTGATTATGCGTGATGGGAAAGGTAAGAACTTCAAGACGTTTGTCGAAAAATGTTAATGAAGGAGGTTTTCTCATTCGTTGTCCTGTGAAGTGATTTATTTCGCGTAACCTATCTTTGACACTTAACTTCATTCATCGTTCCCCCCCCCCCTTGGACAAGGTGACTCTTGCTAATGGAGGTTGCTGGAAAGTGTTTTGCAAATAAATTTTAACTGAAAGAGACAAGGAAATGCGTAATGTGGCAAAAGAGGCTAAAATGCAGCTGATGACTATTGAAATGACGATTTTAATATAGCGTAAATGCGAAATGGCGGAATCTGAACTTCGTGTCACCTACTCACGACAAGGAAGTGTCTGAATGGAGAAGTTTTGTGGTGATTTAAGAGGCGGTGGGCCTTTTTTCTATAGTGGCAAATTATGTCATTGTAGCCATTGTAGTTTCCTCTCTTTGCAAAATATATTTCACAAGTTAAAAACCGAAATAGACATTTATGCAATTTTTTTTCTTGCTTGCGTTCAAGGATATTGTATATTTAAATACAGAATAAAACAGGAAATCGAAAACAAAAAAATATTTTTGAAATGAAATCTTTCAAACAAAATAAAAAAAAAAATAGGATTTAAAATGATATTAATTAGGCTTTATATCTCGTGAAATCACTACTATAAAACGTTGCTTCACTTTGCAAATTGTTGCCACCGAATATTATCGCCCTGTCTTGTATTTGAAGAAATTAAATAATGAAGAGTCTCCATAAATGTATGTATGTTTCTCGCATTGGGATAAAACAGCGGTACCTAGAGCCATCCAAATTTGAATAACGTAATCTTCTACCGAGTATGGTCATCTGGAAGCCCAAATTTGAAATTTGGAATTTCTTTTATTATCGGTTTCATATTTTGTAAAACTTTAACTAATTTTTGATTAACAAACTCGAGGATTTCAAAGCGAACCATGGCAACGTTGTACAGAAGAAAAAAAAAAAAAAAAAAAAAAAAAAAAGAGAGAGAGAGAGAGAGAAATATTTTCAGCACGTGAGACTGTGTATCGGAAATTCTAAAGATTCTCTTTTTAAATATTTTGTGACATTGCTGCTGAATTGAATTTTATGGTTAGGTGCGAAGAACATATTTAATAAATAAGGGTAACACATAAAACGTTAGAAAACGCCCCTCTGAATAATCTGAAATATATATAATATAATCCCCTAACATAAATCTAAAAGCATTCATATTATTTTTGTTCATTTAAGCTAAGTATTTAAACGACTAGTGAATTGAATAATATCCTATTAATTTTTCATAAAATTGAGAGAAAAAGGTTAGTTAAAATTTCATGAAAAATTTTCACAAAATAATTTTTAATTAAAATTTTAAAATCTTTCAATATTCTCATATATTTTATTATAAAATAATTTTTAAAATTTGAATCGATGCGAGAATTGGGAGACTGAAAACTATCATGCCGGATTAGGAAAAAAGTTTGTTAAGCAATGTCATTTGGATTTTAAAATTATTATTTAAATTAACCAGTTGTTTTTAATTTCAGTCTTTACTATAACTTCTTCTTTCCGTTTCCTCGCCAGAACATAAATTAATTAAATAGTATTTAAAATGAGGTTTTGGGATTGTGAAACCGAGAGTGTTTCTGCCTTTCACTAGCACGTTAAGTGCCAGCTCGGATTAGTTGTAATTATTCTGCTCCGCGTTTTCGCTGCCGACATTTGAATTTGATAAGCAGGTTAGAATTTCTGAGCCAGCTTGAATTAAAATTTAATTGTGTATTCTTTGACTTCGTTTTAAACTGAAATTTGACTTTAGTTGTATCAGTACAAGTCGTGGCTGATTTTTGTTATCACAAGAATATGCACTTATGTTGTAATTTCTGTTCAATAAAAATAATTTAAAAACCTTTTTATGGCTTATAGTTAATTTAAACATAGTGAAAATTCGCTTCATGCCGGATCGGGTTAAGAATTTCTGATCAAGTGAAACCCTATAGAGTTTAAATGAGTTTTCCTGTACCAATCTTATTATTTTTTTTCACTATTGCAATCTTTGACGACTGTGGTTGCGATCCGTAATATTTCTAATAAATACATGTAGTTGTGCATATTTTAGCCATTTTGTGCATTTTTATAACTTTCAAGAAATCAGCGATAAAATAAAATCATTAACTAATAGTCTCTAAAAATTCTTGATATTTTACGCAAATATATGCTGAAGTAAAAACTAACAAAATTTATTTGCCTTTTTATTGATTATCTTTTTATGATCCCTTTAAAGTGAAATGACAATGAAAATAAAGCATTTTAACTCAAAACGAAATTAGAAATATATTTCATTTCTTACAAGAATGATGCAAATATTATTTATAAAATTATCGCTCATATAATGATGCAAATAATTTTCATAAAAAAATTTCAATTAAAATATAGGGTATAATTTAATTGAGATTTAGTTGTATATTATATGAATTAGAGATATGTTTAAAAATGAAAATTAAGATATAAATGTTTAAAAGTGTATACTTATTTCTTTCCTTGTCTCGGCTATTTAAGCATTATACTGCTTCAGTTTGAAAGAAAACTTAAATACCTTAAATGAAAATCGAATGGCAATACCTGTCCGACTGGCCAATTTGCCAGGCCATAAAGCCACATGATAAGTGAAAGAGTTTTTGTTTCCTGGAATGACAACATTTGCTATAGAAATGACAACATTTGCTAATAAATATATTGTTACGTGCTTACCAGTTCCTAATAAAATGAATGCCCACAAGTTCCATAGCAGTTTAATAAAATTAATTTTTTATGAAATGAAATACTTCAAATTCTGGAATTTTCCACAGAAATACTCGTACAGGTTTTCAGAGTATCACAGCGTACAATTAGTAGCTACATTTCAAACTACTAAGAACGTTAAATACAACTCAATGTAAAGCGCATTTAGAGAAGCTAATCCGGAGGTATCTCATTTCGCGCTGAATAAACTGAACTAACAACTCGCAGCAACAGTAACTAAACCTAACTAACAGTAGATGCTCTCGCTCTCTCCGGTCTTATATAGTTTTCACCCGGCCACCGAGATATTTCTAGTACTTTCTGCTCGAAATTGCTGGAAGACAATACGAGGGTCGAATTAAGGTTACAGCTAACATAGTGGTCAATTACAGTCATTCAGTTTCAACGCACATTACGGTGATACAGGGACCGGACCAAAATGTCACCAAATGCCGTTGTCAGCTTGACGATATCTCGCCAAATTACCGAGATATCTCATTTCGCGCTGAACTAACAACTCGCAACAACCCATTTACTCAATGTTAAATGCACGTGCGTTGTATTCTTACTTTTCCGGCATAGCTTTAGATTTTTCGCGTTATATTACACAGAAAAACTACATTAATTTCACGCATAACTGCACTAAAATCCTCTATCTATGTACAAAATTCGTAACAACGTTGTTAGCTTATTGTAGTATAACAGTATAACTGATAACAAGATGTTAAAAATAGAAAAAATAAAGTACATGTCAGTGATATTTCAAACTTCATGTCAGTCGAAATCGTATATTCAAATTTAGACATTTTAAGAGTTAAAAGCTAATCTCTTCCTTTTGGAATCTCTCGGTTTTAACATATTACTCTAAAAGCCACAAGTAGATATTTATAGCATTTAAAATCCAGTGAAATGGTTTTTAAAAGGAAAGCAATGTTTGAACTAATAAAAATTTTTGCGTAGTACGAAGTGAAGGAAGTATTGTAACCGCGAAAAATTTCGAGTATCATATTTCAAGGAAAATATCCATTTTTTTCGCTCACGAATCTGTTTTAACGATTTTTTTGCGTTATATCTGTACGTACGAATAGAATTAAAAACTATTTTTTTTCCAAAACGGACTATAAAATGGATATACAATGGATTCAGAAGTAATACTTTCTGGCTGTCTCTACGTACATACGTACGTATGCGTATATATCGCATAACTGAGAAATGATTATTCGTAGAACGTTGAAATTTTGTATATAGCACAGCTACAGGATGTAGTTGTGCATCTCCCTTTTTTGGTGGCAATCGACCGAACCAAAAGTAAATATATATTTTTACTACTTAACTTCAAATATATACTCACTTTATTACCTGTGAGCTTAGTTTTTTTTATTCTTATATGTTAGTAAAGTGTGCATTTTCTGCTTTAAAAATGATTGAATTATGTTATTGTTCTTATTTATTCTTATATGTTGGTAAATTGTGCATTTTTCGCATTGTAATAGAAAAGAAATCCTATCTGAGTAAAATTTTGAGTAGAAAAGTTATTAACAATCCATCACTATGCGTAAAATGTGAAAAATGTTTACAATACTTCTAATTATCTCTTCTAGCAGGCTGAAAAATAAATTCTGCGATTTAAAAATAATAATTTTTGCGGTAACATAAACTTATTTAGCACTGCTTATTATTGGTTGCTCAATATTCAAGGATCATACTTCTATCTGCATTCATGCATGAAACATTTATCAAGCATTACAGCATTTGCTTTCTAGCTAATTAGTCTGAAGTCCCCAAACTACAGTTTTCTTAAAATTGAAGCATTAGATAAATATCTATATCTTTAACAATGCTAACAAGAGCCATTCAATTAGGTATAGATAGGTATATCAATTAGGTGAGGAAGGTAAATCTCAGTTAAAAGAAAAACATCTTTTAATGACCATCAGG